TCGGGCTCAGCTGTGGAAAGCATCTATAGGGTGGGCTCAGTGACGACACGCATCATATTAGAAACGCACCCTTCAGGGCAAAAAACAGGAGTCTGCTGACAACGACAGAGCGCTCCCATCACAGGCTGCTTATATTGATGAGAAAGACAGAGAAAGCTTTGTGCATCCCTGTTATCTTTGCCACCACTAGAATGCATAAATCCACTCGTGTCTAACTTGTACAGCACTTGTTACAAAAGAAATTGTCATGAGGTAGTTTCAGCCGAGGCTGCCAAAAAAGCCACTTCTGCCTCAGCATGAGCAAGAAACAGCGTCATAACAGGATCTACAGTGGAAGGCAAAAGTCTGAACACCCCTGGTTAAATTACATGTTTTGTTGATTTCCTAAGTGAAAATAAGTGAAAACATCCTCCACATAGAAAAAACTTAACCATGACATTTGTGTGCAAATTTTAGTGCATAATTTCTGTTTATTTTCTGAGTTTAAAGGAGCGGAAAAAATAAAACATTAAATATAAAACGTCCCACAACTTTTGCAAAGGCCACATTTTATGTTTTTATTCCCGTTAATGTGTTAAATTCAGGGGCGCAGTGGGTGGCGCTGTCACCTCACAGCAAGAAGGGCCTGGGTTCAACTCCCTGGCTGGGTCACCAGGGTCCTCTCTGTGTGGACTTTGCATGTTCTCCCTGTGTCTGAATGCGTTTCCTCCTACAGCCCAAAGACATGCAGGAGATTTGGAGATGCCAATTTGCCCCTAGCTGCATGTGTGTGGGGGGCGGTTGGGTGTGTGACTGTGACGGAGGGTGTTTCCTGCCTTCGGCCCAGTGAGCGCTGGGATGGGCTCCAGCGTGACCCAGGAGGATAAAGGGTTTAGATGATTCATGAATGAATGTTAAATTTAGCAAATAAATAATAATTGTGCATTAATATGTGCAGAAATGTGTTCTCTGTAGAGGAAGTTCACTTATTTTCATTCATCAACTCATCATTTGACTGGGGTGTCCAATCTTTTGCATTAACTGTAAATACAGCATGTGCATTTGCTTAAAGTGGATTTCCACTGGTTGTTCAGAACTTCTGCATAATTATATGGTTAAGATATAAACAAAGTCAGACTGTTTGGATGTGAAATGCTCCATTCTAGAAAAACACCAGTGGTGGTGATAGGAACCAGATGTCTGAAGAGTTTAATGACCCTAAAAGCTCCCTGAACAGAAAGTTGTTAAATGAAATGGTTATGAATATGTTGTCTAAGCCTGAGACTTTGGTTTATAATAGTTTTGCTTAAAACATATTTTATTTTTTAGAGAACAGGTGTTATGAGGCAAAATTGTCCCAAAAGTAGAGGTCTGCACTCCCGCAGATCACAATACCTTGCCGTGCGGGACTAATTTTCAGTGTTTTGTGCGGGAGAGGGCGGGAAACCAGCCCACTGAAGGCAGGTGTGGGCCGAAGCATGCATGGGGTGAAATCCTGCAAATTAATGAATAGCCTAAATAAAGTAAAACGGTCACTATATCATATATAACATGATAACAGTAAAACAGTTAAAACAAAAGAAGTCATTCTAAAGAGCTGAGAAACAACCAATCATATGAAACTCGCAAATTCTCAAAGCTTACAGAGATGTTGGAGCCTTCAGTCCAACAGCCACAGCTGCCCAGCAAAACACTGAAAATAATCGTTCAGTGGTTTAATTCCTGCTTTGTGTTTACTGGGAATAAATGGTGTTTGGTGAAGTTACTTCACAGTGAGCCTGATGACAATGACTGCTGTGTTATTTCAGCAGAGGGTAATGTATTTCTGAGCAGATTATGTCCGATTTTGGATGTCAGTTCGCCTTGATGGCACTGCGTGGGCAGGTGCGGGGCAAGTTTCAGTTGCAGGTGGGAGCAGGACAAATGATTCCAATTTTCTGCGGAAGCGGGATAAAATCTTGCGGGAGCGGGACTGAAAAAAACAGTCCTGCGCAGACTTCTACCCCAAAGAACACTTATTTTTTCACATTTATCACTATTTTACCAATATTACATATAAAAACTCAGAAGATTCACTGGTGGTTTCCAATAGTAAATAAAATGGCTATATTTGTGTTGTAGACATCATAACACCTGGTTCTTATCACCACCTCTGTAAAGAACTCTGACTTGGTAAGTTTCTCTACAGTGAAACATTTTGCCTCAAATCGCTCTGAAAGACTTTGTTAACATCTCAGTGATTGTATTACACAGAAATTTTGTAAAATGGGTGGATTTACCCTTTTAGGTCCTTCGAAAGATGTGAAGAAAGTCTCATTTCTCATATTCCGGAGTGTCTAATGATGTCTAATGATTAATTCAATTTGTCATGCACGCTCCTGATTTAACGAGGCAGTTGATTATGCGTTCTATTAGCTGAAACGAGCGTCTTCAATCTGGGGTAAATTCCTCAGCAGGCGGCTCAGGCTGTCAGAAAAATATGCTGCTGCATTTTACTCTCGATAAATTAACATTGACATCTGCTACATGTGTTATGGGTTATGTGAATATAAAGTATCGTCCAAGAGTAATTATTCATCATCTCATTAAAATCCTAAACATAACGCTAATTACGCATAATCGTTCGATTTACTTAAGGCGCAGACACTGACACAAAAGACCATGTCTAGATGAAAGGGTCGCACGCAAAGTACCAGAAATACAAACTGCAAAAAAAAAACAATCATATGAAAAAGCTCATGTGAGGAAACGCTTCATCAGCGAGAGTCAGATAAAATGAAAAATATATGACGCAACATAGCAACAAAGATCAAGAACAGACATTATTAAAACTTAAAAAGCATATTCAAAGTTCCGGACAACAGCAAATGGCAATATACTATATGTACTGTTACACTGCTAAGCCACAGAGCCCCAAGCCTACAACAAATTACTGCCCCAACATTACTCCTTTTTCTGTTTTCATTTCTTTAAGGCACTTTTTGGCACTGTTTCAGGGTTGCTGCACAATTTTAATCAGATTCAATGCTTTTAAATCCTTTTTAAGACCTCAAAACAGCAAAAATAGATGTATTAATTAGATGTAACAGGATGTATTAATGTCTACTTTATGTGAACTGACTGGTTGTAAAAGCATTGATAGATGCTTTGAGACCACATTCTCCTTATCCAGTCTTCTCAGTGTGCATCAGTTTTGTCATCCTCTAGCCTTTCATCAGTGGTCGGTTTTTTTTTAACAGACTGATCTGAGTGTTTTTAATACATGAAATGATCTTTCCTTATCATATAATTTAAACGGAGATGCCCTGATTCAGCCCCCTGCCCTGCCCTCCAATCAGATTCAAGTCTGATGTAGTATTAGCTTTAAAGATCCTTATGCATTATGGTTATGCACAAGGAAGCAGTAAAAATGGCATTAAGACTCATTACTCATTAACAATGCAAAGATTTATGAATATGCATGATCAGGCAAAGCTGTAAACACCCTCTTGCTGCCCCCTTTCTAAACCCCGCCCCTCCCACCACGACCATGCACCCCGTCTCTACATTTTATGAGACGAGGCAGAGCAGAAACGAAGCTGTAACTTTAACAATCAGAAAAAGTATTTGCATATGCAAAATGATTGGTCTGTTTTGCTTTCATTTGAACTTTTTTATACGATGTACATCAAACAGAACGTGTCATAACATGATATAATGAGAGATGACAATACACACAAGTGATACATCAAACCACTGATGCACATCTTCACTCTGCCCTTTTTTTGTGGACAAACTTTATGCAAATTAGCTGAGTGGCAACCAATCAGATTGCTGGCGTGGGGTGGTAAGTGACGGTGTCACATAGGGGTGGGCGATATAGAAAAAAAACTGTATATCACGATACTCAGAGACATCTTTATGATACACAATACATATTGTGATATTTAGTGCTAGTAGTGTCATTTTAACAACTGCTATCAAAACTATGAATACAGCCAATTTTATTCAAGTCCAATTAAAGGTCTACATTTTTTGCAATAAAGGTTCTGTGCTGGTACATTTTTCATTCATCAAGGTACAAACAATGTAAATGTTCCCTCAAAGGTACAACAGTGGTTTTAGTGTCCAATTGTGAACCTAAAATAAGTTTTTCCAGGTGAAAAGTTCGTATTTGTACCTTTTCACAACCGAATATTTTAAAACAGAACAATAAAATAAAAGCCTGGAGACGAGACGGGGTGTGTGGAGTCAGTACAGCTTAGAAAATATCATTTCAGTGGATTATGGTACAGTTATGTTCCCTGACTAAAGGTACTGAGATGTACCCTTGAGAGGACCACCCCAGTGACAAGAGGGGAACTGCCCCGGTGACAGTTTCATACCTTTTTCTCAGAGTGTAATTATGCTCTCTTTGTAATGAATCATGTAGTTGGTCATGCTGTTTATTACAAAAACAAAGTTTATCATAACAATAAAACCATAAAAGTGTCATACTGCCCACTCCTAGTGTGACGCCCAAAGTCAAGCCACCTGAGACATCCTGAAAACACTCAAATGCACACCGATGCACTAAATAAATGCACTCAGATCATTATTACATTCCATACTTTCTGTAAGTTCAAAAAGCAATATCAGGCCGCTTCTCTGCATGCACTGCGCACTTAAACCTGATTGTGTTTTAGCGAGGCCCCCAAAGCGCCCAACAAAGCAGTGAGGGAAATGATTTGGCTCGCTGTAAATGCAGTGGTAATGTAAAAAGTGCACCAATATTGCAGATTTTGAAGCTACATAAACAAAACAAAAAATAAAAATACAAACTCCACCCTTAAAACAAGCAGACATGGGCATTTACTACACTCAAATTATTTGATGTGCAGTCCTTTTATGTTTTACATGATTTTTTAGCAGTTGCACTTAAACAATCTTGAAATCTGAGGGTGCTGCAGCCCCCTCAGCATCTCCACCTCCTACATTCCTGTGCAGAAGTAAAGAGCCGAGTGAGAGTGTTCATGAGAAAAGAGCAAACCGCTCTGACTTACCAATATCAGTGTCTTTGTGGTTCTTTATGAACTCTGCCAGCTCAAAGTTTCCTGCAATTATGGCCACCTTCGGAGAACAGAGAGAGCACAAGTCATTAAGGTTCATCATCTATTCCACCAGCATGCATTTCAGACCATTTTGTTCATGTTTTACTTAACATATTTAGCCCGAAATTAAACCGGCTGCAGTCTCTCACCAGCGCAAGTGTAAATCATGTGACTTACAAAGCCTGATTTTTTTTAACAAAATGAAATCTAAATAAAACACGTGTGGGTGTTGAACGCTATGAAAGAGTGTCTGAGTCAACAAACATGCAACCAGACCTGAGCAACCGCACTGTGACCATTCTTACGCAACACTGCCCCGGTCTCTACAGTGGCTAAACACTGATGTAACATACCTTCTTCAGAGACCTCTTTATCTCTCTCTCTCACATGCAATCTGTCTCTCAATAGAAGTATTTAGGGCTGTGCCGTATCAGTAACTGAACAATCTATCAATCATTTTGAGTAATCTGCCAAACAATAAAAATGGGCTTAACTGAGGAAAAAACAAGAGGAAACCTTGAAAAAGTATGCAATTACAGTACTGTGCAAAAGTCAGAGACCACCCTTCATTTAACGTCCAGTCAATATGGCCATTAAACACAAGCTATGCATTTTTCATTGTAAAGAAAATACAGCTAACACCATTAAATAATATAATATCAAATTTCAGTATTGTGTCTACCCTCATCTTACATATATATCATATATATTACAGCTTCAGTTTCTCAAAAAAATCTGCAGGGATATTTTTCACACCTCCAAAGTTCAGTCTTAGAAGTTGGTTGATCATTTTCGGAAGTAATCAAACACATTCAGTGATGTTGAGGTCTGGACTCTGGGGTGGTCAGTCCATTGTTCAGCTTCTTTGTTTGATGTGTCCATCTCCTTTTCTCAGTGAGGCTTCTTTACAGCTACACATCCTTTCAGACCCACAGCGCTGAGTCGTCTTCTCACAGTGGAAGGATGGACAGAAACACCTGTGGATGTTTTCAGATCTGAAGCAGCTTGATTTTCTCCTCTCTCTCAGAGATGAAAGTGCTGTTTATCTGATGGGGGCAGTTTTGGTGTCTACCAGGTCTTCCAGGTGGTTGTTAGGAGCCTCATTTTCTCTCTGCAGCATTTAATCATCTTTCAAACTTGTTTTGGAAACTCCTGTTTTTTCACTTATTTTCCTTTGACTTTCTCCTTCCTTATGCAAGTGGATTATCTCATATCTAATCTCATGAGAAATACCACCTGAAAAATAAACAACTTGTACTTAATGGTTGTTTAAACTGAAAATTAAATAAACTAAGGGTGGTCTCTGACTGTTGCACAAAACTGTATATTGTCACTGCTGCACAAAAACCTTGCATCTCCATTTTTGTAATTTTTTACTTAATTTAAAAAGTCCAAATACTGTTTCCATTATGCAGAACCATAGAAATGGCTTAAAATTAATTGATTTTCATTAGAAATTAAAGTTAACACTTTTTTCATTCTCCTGTAAAGTTGGAGATACAAGGGTTTGTTCAGACTGCAACAATATATACATACAAATATATACAGAATACGATATGTTGCAAAAATGCATATAAATGGATATGTCCTTGAGGTAAAGTTAATGAGTAGGATAATATATGATTTAAAATTATGCAAATTGCAAAACTAATCAGTGCCAAATCATACAAAGGTAACTTTTCTTGTTTAATAATTTTTAAATTGCGAAACTATGACAGTACTACAGGTACTCCTACTCTCCACACCATCTCTAGCATAGCATGAAGCTCAGTTCAGCATTTCTAAGGCCTCTATCCAGTGTTTATTATACACAAGGCCTGCCATTTACACTCACTCCAGATTCACCGCAGGTTAAAAAGGTAATCATTTGTGTATTTCGGCTTCATTTCCTGATTGGGGTCATGGCGTGCAGTCATTTCTGGCAGGAAAAAGCTTCCTTTAACCAAGCAGAATGTAGCGTATCAGTTTGGGAGCCTCAAATGAGCTGTAATCAAGCAGCTACTGAAGTGTGAAATATAATTTTAGCAGCGTGAGATGAATAATACGGGGCATTAAACAATACACCAGCAGCAGGGCTGATGTGTACATTACATAAACTCTCCAACTCCTACATATGGGCCTGGAGCTGGGGAGGTCAGTTTAAAGCTGACAGGCAGAGACTGGAGAGCAGCCACATGACATGCTCTGGTTCTGAAACTCAGAGTTTCACAAGTCTGACATGACAATCAAAGAAACGCTTGTTGAAATCAAGCAAATTCATGTACATTTTTTAATTGAATAAAGGGATCGTGAAGGCTTGGATCAACGATTGGTCAAAGAGAATCGCTCAGAATAACTTACATCTGACCAAAGAAGCAGACAAAGACAATTTAATAGATTTTGCAAGACATGTTTGTTGTCTAGACACAATGGCCCACGAGCGGAGAGAGTTTCCCACATTTCAACTACGAGCGGGAATATTTCACTATTCAATTATTCATTTACCACCAGACAAATCGAGTGCCTTTTAAAGGTCAGGACAATTTGGACATTTTGATCTAGCATGGCATATAAAATGGCCTTATAATCATAGAACTGCTTACAAAACTTGTACACTGACCTGAACAAGACATTTTTTCCTTTTTTTTATAAAGGCACTGCTTTGAGTGTGTACGGAGAAGCTGAATATTTCATGTTACGAAATTTGCCCATTAAAATAGTTATTTGGCCTGTCATGCGTATCCTAAGGACACGCCACATTCCTGTGCTCATAGTTTAGATGGTTCTCTTTGGTAACCTTGGCTCAGGGGCTTTTTTCAGAGCAAGAAGAAGAAATATATTCAAACGGCAATTGAGGGGTCCAAGCATTTGGTTTGAGGCATCCGAATGGGCAACATTTTTAAAACCAAAATACATTTGTCACATTGAATCACTGAGTCCAGTAGATGACTGAAATTCTCACAAGTATTTTTCGTATTTGAAGTTTTCCAAAAAAGCACATTTAGATATGTAAATGAGATTATTGAATGAAATATGCATGGATTTGCATATTTTTAACATCCAAAAATCTAGTCTTTGGGTGATGTTAGATTAAAATGATTATTTCATTGTTAAGACAAACTTCAGAGAAAGGATCTTACAGACCAGATTGCTGGAACGTCATTGTTTTGTCAAGAAAACACTATTCACTGACTTTATTGAATGTTTTACAGGTCATTTTGTTGTACAAACTCTAGCATAAATCCATTTATTAGCAATATATTAGGAAGCACTTTCATAATATATATCATGAAAGTGGGTTAGATAAAATTTAATAAATGCCGTTATTCTAAGATTTCTGGTTCTGAATAAGGAGAAAAATTCTTAAGTATCTCAGAACTATATTGTCCAAGGAGTTCTCAGAAAACATGAACCATTTTGTGGGAATGCTTTTGTTAGTGAAAAAAAAGGCAAACTTTGAGTTGTAAGCAGAAGAAAAAGGCATATGTTTGTTATTCTAGTTAGATTCTAAAGCAAAAGAGCTTTCGTGATGTGTGACATGATGTGGCTGTGCCAAGTGTGGCGGAACAAAGTTTGTAACTTTTGGAAAATAAAGTCAGATGCAAGTTGATGTGAACTGACAAAACAAGTTTAAATAAATTTTGTTAGTTTGTTTTTACATTTTTAGGAATACATTTTAAGAGAATACATTATTGATGCAATTCATCCAAAAATCTAAAAAAAGACTGAACTAAAAATGTAATTTCTGCTTGTATTGTCTTTCCTTAATGAGGATTCTTTCATCATGAATGAGGATCATTCAGTATAGCATTATTGGTTGAAAGAATTCTTGAAGCCTATTGGTTTGTTGCAATGTACTTTAGGAACACTGGTCTCCTGAGATTGACTTGCAACTCATTTCTCATTTACTTTTCATTCAATGTGTGCACATATATAAGTTGACAGGCAATCGCTCGGGGTGGAGAGCAACAGAAAATCAGCACATTAACATCTGTAAATGTGCACTCAGCGTTTGCCCCCTGCATGATAAAAATTTGTATTGAATGCTTCTACAGTGCAAAGCCTGATACTACAGTCCTGTGGATAAAAGATGAGTTAATCTGTAACGGCCACCGCAGAGAGCCAATGATTCAAGAACCAATGTGCCTGCATGGGTAAGGAGTGGGTGTGAAACTGACATTTACCATGGGAAATTAAACTGTGCTGGTAAACACTCTAAAATATTCTTTTAAAAATCAAATGTCAGTAGAAAGAAGTTCACAGAGAAACTGAGCTAAATAAGCTGTCGCCTAACCTCAAGTCAAAAAACTGTTCTTAAAGGTCTTTGTTATTCCTTTTTTTGTCATATTTAAAAATTTCTTTATTGTATCAAATGCAAATTATAATCTCATAATATATTTGTAGATTACATTACAAGAACAGACGTGTAAAATGGATGTTATAGACGCAATTTGACAAAAAAAATTTACGAAAAAAAAGACTGAATTTAACTGAACCATCATTTATATATTTCTTTAAAAATCTGACTGAAAAAAAGTATATAGTATATCTTTAGTGAACGAAAATACACACTGAGAATATTTAAAATATGTTTATCACACATTTAATATGGTTATACATTTTTATATTACACTCATTCGCTCATCATCTAAGCCGCTTATCTTCGGTGGGTGCCGGAGCCTAACCCAGCGCTCCTGGGGAGAAGGCCGGAAACAGCCCATCACATACATACATACATACATCATCTAAACCGCTTATCTTTCTGGGTCGCGGTGGGGTGCTGGAGCCTATCCCAGCTGTCATTGGGCGGAAGGCAGGATACACCCTGGACAGGTCGCCAGTCCATCACAGGGCAGCAGCCCATCACAGAGTTTTTATATTACATAAAAGACCAATTTGTTATCCAGTTAACTACCAGTGTGCAACTAATCAGTAATTAACGAGGCTTAGATTACTGTCTGTTCCCAAAAACAGTAAGAATGAGATGATTAATTACTTTAATTAGGTGTCAATCAAAAATGTGAATGGAAACCTGTCCATGGGTAGCTGCATTTCAAGTACGGTAACAGTAGCTTCCAAGTTTAAAGGCATAAAATATGCAATGACCAGAGCAAAATATAATTTCTAAATATTTATGTTGTAATTTTGGGTCCCCATAAAATAACAGCTGCTCTACCATTGAGATTCAATACGTAAAAAATGTAGGCTGTAAGTAAATCACAGTTAATACATGCGAGTTACGGCATTTAAAATTCAAGTTTTATATACATATATGTTGAAGTCTGTGCAGTACAACATGAGGAAGCCCATTTTTCAGGCTATTCCAAGGTGTGAACGGTGAAAAAATCAGGCAAGAAAATAAACAGATCTTACAAATTAGCATTTTATGTGAACAGTTCTGTGTGCTTCAGCGGGGAAAAAATGGCTTAGATACTTGCTCACAGAACAACCTGATACTGGTTAAAACTGCTAAAAAACTTTGGGTCACAAATGTACACCCAGTTCTCAGACAGTATAAATGAAGTGTCTATGGGATGTCATTGCTCACTGCACCTCCTCTGACACATACTGTATTGAGTGCAGGCTCATCTGACTGGGCGAGGCTTGTCGGCCAGAGAGTGAATCTTCCATCACCTGTCCAATTTGTGCTGTGTGATGGTTGGACTTTGAAATTACCTCGTCTGGTAAAATGCGACTGGACATATTTCACAGACAGATGATGAAACAAGTGCTTTTGCTTGTTTATACTTACATTACTGTGCAAAAGTCAGAGACCACCCCTCATTTACTTCATTTCAAAACACACATTAACCACAAGTTGTATTTTTCAGGAGCTCTTTCTGAGAAGATTAGATATAATCCACTTGCATAAGGACGGAGAAAGTCAAAGGAATATAAGTGGAAAAAACAGGGAGTTCAGAAAATGATTAAAAGCTACAGAGAAAATGAGACTCCTAACAACCACCTGGAAGACCTGCTACACACCAAAACTGCCCCCATCAGATAAACAGCACTTAAAGCTTTCATCTTTGAGAGAGAGGAGAAAATCAAGCTGCTTCAGATCTGAAAACATCCACAGGTGTTTCTGTCCATCCTTCCACTGTGAGAAGACGACTCAGCGCTGTGGGTCTGAAAGGATGTGTAGCTGTCAAGAAGAACCTCACTGAGAAAAGGAGACGGACACATCAAACAAAGAAGCTGAACGATGGACTGACCACCCCAGAGTCCAGACCTCAACATCACTGAATGTGTTTGATTACTTCAGAAAATGATCAACCAGCTTCTAAGACTGAACTTTGGTGGTGAGTCTGCAGATTCTTTGAAAGTGAATCTCCTGAAAAGAATGGAAGCTGTAATGAAGGTAAAGAGTGACACAATAAACACTAAAAAAATAGATATTTTATTTAGTTATTGGGCTTCTCTGTGATTTTATCTTCAATATATGTTTTCTGTTTTTTTCCTGACACTGACAAATTGATGACTCGTACTTAATGGTTGTTTTGACTATAAATGGAATCAATGAAAGGTGACCTTTCCACAGTACTGTGAATCTTCTACATGTGCATCATGTTGGAGTCCCTTTAGCTGTTCAGCCTATTTTGCAGCCAAAGCTCGCTGTGGTTCCTCCATTACTCAGTCATGTTACCAGCCACCACACCCTGCTTCCAATGACAAGAGCGGGGGCTGGGTCTCAAGAGAGTTAGAACACAGTATGCTGAACGCCTTTGCAGTGAATTGATGGTTTACAATAAGCTGGTGCAGTAAAGGAATTGCTTTATCAGTACAGCAAGAAGGAACATTCATTTATCTTAAAACAAAGAGCGGTTTGGATTCAATTACTCGCCTCCAACTTTAGATTCTAATTTTGCTAAGAGCAGTGAACAAAGGATTGGCCCAAAAGCTAATTTATATCAGTGTACAAAGACAAATGCACTAAAACTGTAATTCCGAGTAGAGACATTAAAGATAACGAATGAATAATTAACGGAAACTGATCAAACCAATGCAACATGTTTAGTTATGAAGAATATGATCAATATCTTCAGCTTCATACTTCTATGCTCAGTACACTGGGGTCATTTTCCCACTGCACAAAGAAGTGAAACCTCTGGGACCAGAAAACTGGAACTGCACTTTTTCCACTGTCCATAGGTCCAGTAGCCAGCTTGTCTAAGGTACCTTCTCAAGGTTGCTACCAATAGGTAATGAACAAACTCAAGAGTGTTATCTAGTTAGTAGACACTCTTTTCCAGAGTGGCTTACGACTGAAGGATGTTATAGAGGTAGGCAAATGTAGCATTAGGGGTCTCGCCCAAGCCCTCTTATTGGTGTTGTCTGGTGAGCTTCCCAGGGAGGGGAATCAAACCCCAGTCTGATGCATAGAGGGCAACAGTACTCTACACCCTCTACCCTCTACCCTACACTGACTTTTCCCCCCTTTGTTTTTGGACCAAAGACAATGTAGTGAATTTATTACTCTTCCAGGTGAGGATAAAGTCACTAAGCACTATTACATCACCAGTAAGAGCAGCATATTGTAAACTAGAATGGAATGATAATGGGTTAATCACTATTTTTTAGAATTACTACTTTGTAAAGTGTTCGTTAACGTGACGTAAGCTAGTTAGGAAGCTTTTTTCCCACACAACAGAGAAAAATGAAGCTTTGTTTGTAAACACTGTAGATCAGATGTCGGCAACCCAAATGTTAAAGAAAGCCATTTTGTCCTTTCAAGAAAAACTTAACCACCTTGGGAGCCACAACATTTTATATCAATTTTATTAAAGTAATGCTTTACCATTCTGGCTGTAAACATGTCTCAGTATGTGCTGAGGTCCTAGTATAGGCTAAAAAATATAAACGAAGATCCAGACTTACTTTGCTCTGCTTTAAGCTTTAGCTCAGCTATAGAGGCTTTTCTCGCATCTCCAGCAGGAAACTTTTTTTCAAAAGTAGAACAGTTTCTTGTAAAATGTCTCTTAATGTTCGACTTTTTACGAGGCTAAAGTCGCTTCTCATTCACCAGCTTCTTGTGTGAATTTTCCCGTTCCACCTTAAATGGTGCAAGAGGTGCCAAAAGGTAACTGCTGCACCATTTAAGGTGGAACGGGAAAATTCACACAAGAAGCTGGCGAGTGAGAAGCGACTTCATCCTCGTGACTTTTTAGTGTTTGACAGTTTCTCGTTGAAGATTAAACATATCAGGAAACCAGCTGGAGTGATTCTAAACGCAAATAAGTCCATCCGTCTCCAAATGATCAATGCTCGTCTTAAATCTTTCTCTTTGCCGTTTCGTTAGCTACTAGCTAAGTGAGATTGTTGTCTGTGTTGCTATGTGACCAGCAGACTGTGCGACAGCCTTCAGGTTAAAGGGTGAATTAGCAGTTCTACATTAACTCCAGAATTTAAGACCACTTATTGTTAAACTGTGTTGAACGATCAGCAGAGCTTTATTTTACTGCAAAGGAGGATTAATTTATTTTTACCTAAAAATCTAATTCTGCTGTGGAGCCATGCTGTAGACATTTGTGTGAGTATGGTAGTACAGAAAGGCATATTATATTATTTCTTGTCAGTATGTAAGTATTGTCAGGCTAAGACAATTATTATACAAAATGACTAATTATCAAAATTCCATGCATGCGCACATAAATTGCCCAAAAACATAATTAAATTGTTAATCATGATTATTGTGACAGTTTCAGTCATCTCTCAAGCAAGTAGAAAATGAACTAGAACTAAAACTGTAGGTTCTGTTGGTTCCCGTTTGGGTCAGTTCTTGTTTTTGAACGTGCGGTGGGAAAACGCCCTATGATTCACAACAGGAGCAGGAACAAAACAAATATTGTGGAAACGACTAGCGGTTATTTTTAACAGCTGAGAGTCATTCGGTCAAGAGGCATAAGGGTCACATTAAAAGTAAATGAAAAAATTGGATGAATTAGGCTCAGCTCATATGCTTAAGTGGCCCTTTCAACTGTATTTCTATTTTTGAAACAGCAAACACACATTAACAGATTAGCAGCTCATTCATCGCGCTCTGAGTGCATTCTTACATAATGGCTGTTGTGCTGTACGCTGTTTTCTGTAATGAATTAAGAGCAATGGGTTAAAAAATAAGCAATCCTACACTAATTCTGGCTTTTTATTAAAACGTTCTGCTGTTTCTGCAGGGCTAAAACCAAAACTGCAAAAAATGCACAGCTGAGAGAAAGCAAAAGTAAGGCTTAGCGATCAAGCGTGCAGGTCAAAGACTTGAGCTTAAAAGAAAAAGATGCTACCAAAGGTATCCCAAGCAAGCAAATGGGGAAGCTTGTTGCATCTTTTGGCAGTAAGGCTAAGTCAACTGGGTGCTGATACACATTGCACTGCTGCAGTACAGTAGATATGAATATGTGTATGTGTCTGAGCTATGCACATACCTGGAAGGGAGTTTGTCCGCGGTAGTTCTTGACGTCCTTGCTGGCTCCCCGCACCAGCAAAACTCTGGCACAATTCTCCTTTAAAAGGAAAAGACATAGTGAAAAGGTTTCAGGCTTGGCTGCAAAGATAAGCGCACTCACCCACTCTTTTCTATTCTATTCTATTCTATTCTATTCTATTCTATTTTATTCTATTCTATTCAAATTAAGCAAACTGGTGGATACCCCTCCATATGAATACTTTCTAAGCTACGATCCAGTCAAAAACATAGTTCCCGCAAAAAAGCACAAAAATGTGCCTGAGCTATAGAAATAAAAACTGCTCAGAGTCTATAAATGATCTCACCGGGCTTAAACAGGCTGCAGTGAAGAGTGACAGACTTCAGCTTTCTGGCCTCCAACACAAGTGTGAAGCAAAGTCAACACCCAAAATCAGAATCAGTGAGAAGAGAGGGGGTCTCCGCAGTTATATGTGTTTGTGTGGTCTATGTGTGTTGGTGAGACAGAGAGAGAGAGAGAGAGAGAGAGAGAGAGAGAGAGAGACATGGCTTTGTAGCACTCCAGCCCACTCCAGCCAGCTGGATTCAGCAGCCCACCCACGGAATGCCTCACCACAAAACCCGACACACAACACACGCACACGCACACCTCCATCGCACTTTCCTCCTACCTTCCTGCTAATACTAGTTTCACTGCTGCCGAAAGCGCTCACATGAAGAATAATTGCGCGTGTAGATATGGCTTTCATTTCCTCGCGCATGGAAATATCATCACAGCGCACCTGGCACCGTTCCTGGTCCTTGTTGACATGGTGACAGAGCAGTGGCATGGCTTTATCGTAAACAAAGCAAAAAAGAAAATAGCATCGGCCCACCGCAGGTTCACGGTTCTGGTGGGATTGATTAATTGGGGATGCCGTAGCTCACATCCGGGGAGGCAATCAGAGGGTCAAAGAAGGGCATGAGGGAGCCAGTAAATGGAACTGGTGGGTAACAGCTCTACTGGTCAGTGCAGAGGAGACACTTTAATTCATCATGGATGAGCTGTGACCTCTGCGGTACTCCTGGGGTTGTAATTCACACTGGAAAAGCTAAGAGAAAATAACATCTCCGCCTTATGGATGTAACAGCATACGAACTTCACGAAGCTGTTGGATATCACAATGACAATTTGAGAAGCGATACATTATGAAATGATAAAACTGTGTGTCTCTGACTAGGTTTGCAGCAAGTACAAGAAACTAGGTCCTAGTACAGGCTAAAAAATATAAACGAAGATCCAGACTTACTTTGCTGTGCTTTAAGCTTTAGCTCAGCTATAGAAGCTTTTCTCGCATCTCCAGCAGGAAACTTTAGAACCGCAAGCCCGTTTTTTGTACCATAAGGCTGTTAGAAAAGCCTTGAACAGCTGAATAGCTCTTTCTATACAGGCAAAAACAATATATAAAGATTTTTACTTTCTAAACGGGCCTACAAAAACAAAGCCAAACAAAAACAAAACGTTTTTCTCTTCTATATATGCCAGCAAACAAAAAATGAATAAACACATCTTCGCTGTTGTATATACAAAATAGCAACTTTACAGGAGAAAGAAAAAAACATTTTTAAATTGTAATGTTAGTTAATGTATAGATTTCTTCCATGTCCGTTCATCGTGAATATAACGGCATAATTAGTTCCCTTAGTTCCTTTAGTTCCCATCAATCAGGCATAACATTATGACCATTTCCTTGTTTCTATGCTCATTGTCCATTTTATCAGCTCCACTTACTATATAGGTGCACTTTGTAGTTGTACAGTTACAGACTGTTACAGAGCAGGTGCTATTTGGGTGGTGGATCATTCTCAGCACTGCAGTAACACTGACGGTGCGAGTGGATCAGACACAGCAGTGCTGCAGGAGTTTTTAAACACCTCAGTGTCACTGCTGGACTGTGAATAATCCACCAACCAAAATATCCAGATATATACATGGGTTCTGGTTAAGTCATTTGGTCTACACACAGCACAGCACAGCATTCAAGTTCAACCCAGTGCATGGAAGCACCTACTAGGCTTATAACTCTATGTTCCTGTCAATCTGATTAAGCCATTCTGGTGCTGCACATGTGAGATAATATGATCTGTTCTTTTATTGCAGCCCTTAATGATGTGTTTATTGCTAAACTTGTGTCAGGATAGCAATAAAAATCCGATTTTGTACCACAATACATTACAAGTGCAGTAACAAATTATACAGGGTGATTCAAAAAGATTCATCTAATTTCAAAGCGCCACAATTTTACAACCGTGAGGCGCATAGGAACCAATTACATACCAACTGAAAGAGGGGGTCATAGAGTTTCTGACTGTCACCGGGAGATGGCTCCCTTCAGTCGGCAGTGAACCTCCAACAGCTCAGAACCTTCGGCGTTGGTTCCACAACACTGGATGATCTCCGAAATTGCACCGAAAGAGCTGTGAGTGCAGTGACACCCAACATGCTCAATCCAGTATGGGATGAATTTGACTATGGCGTTGATGTTGTCCGTACAGCTGGAGGAGCTTCATACTTTTTTACACTTGTAAAAATATATAATTAAATTTATGCTCATTTAAACCATTTATAATTTACTACATTGTTCTGTAATGATTTACAAGTGAAATAAATCGCTTTGAAATCGGATGAATCTTTTTGAATCACCCAGTATTCTGGGTCAAACTCCACTTGCCAAAATGAAACCACAGTGTCTGGTGAAGGCATATCTATGAAATTAACCACTGAAGTCATGCATCACTTTGTACTGCGCATATAAAGTTCCTTAACACCCTCGTAATTGAAGGGATCCAGTGACAATTGGAGAAATAATGCATGTACATATCAAGTTTGTAACATTTTTGTTTAGCACATCATGCAACTTCTAAAAAACAATGTTTATTTCTTCCATAAAGAAGAATTAGCTTAGGCCCAGAGCTCTATATGGGCATGATGCCAGCTTCAGAATGACAGCATGACTTCAGAAGTCCAGCTTTCTTAAAAGACAATACATTTAAACAGTCACCAAGTGTAAATGTGAGCAGCACAAGATTTTCTTTCATTTTTTAGTTTTAACAGAACAACCTGAATCATTCTAATGCAGTCCAATTATGTCAGTATGTCTGATATCACATTTCTTATTACATACAATCTCTATTCAATTCACAGCATGTATTGTTTCACAACCCCTGTATTACAAAAGCAATTAAAATAGTAAGTGTATTTTAACACACCTACTACACCTGAATTTACACAGCAGGGAAGCTGATCCTGACTCATTTTCACATCCAAGAAAGCCCAACTTATACAGAAACAGCAGAACACCAACTCATGGGCACCTTCTGACTAGGCCACAATGGGGGGTGAGGGTGAAAATAATGAGTTACTGGAACAGAGAGTAGCACTAGTTTAATACGCATTGATAAAATTCAGTGTCGCAACATTTTTCCAAATGTATCGCTGTATGTGACGATATTTAAGTTTGCAATAATAAAGTCAACACAGCCATCATAATACTGTTAGAAATCTTACACAGTATTGTGAACATTAAGAAGCCTGAACAGATTTCCACAAAGGAAAATTACTGCTCTTTAAACCACTCTGATGCACCCAGCGTTTGATATACACTGTACAGTCCTGCATATCATGCGCACAAAATATCATTTAAAAAACTAAAAACAAACTGTGCCTCAACAGATACTCAGCTATTCTATAGAGTCAAGATTCAAGATTCAAGAGTTTTATTGCCATATGCACAGCAGAAACAGGCAATTACACTGTACAATGAAACTCTTACTTTGCTGTTCCTCCATTCACCAAAAATAATCTTAGAAAAAAAAAAATATATATTAAATACACTGAATAAGTAAAAATACACTAAAAGCAATAGTAAAAAAAGTAAAAAAAAAAAGTAAAAAAGTACAGTTATATGTGCAAAGTATAGACTAGACGGTGATCATGCAAATAAAACTCACTATCAATACTCAAATAATCTATCAAACTCACAAAAGCAAGTATCACAGTTTGACACCAGAACCTGACATTACACTGCAGTAACTGATCTTCCAGCAGAGCAGCCCGAGGAACCCATGCTGTGACCCTGCAGCCTGGATCCCCTGTTGAGGAAGCAGAAGGGCCACTCTCTGCCTGGCTGCTTTTAAACTGTGAACATTAACAAGCTGCTGTCAATTAATAAACCCTGCCTACGCTAATGCTATTACTACTGTCAGCACAGCTACAAAGCTAATGCGAACAGTATTTTATAAATGAACCCGGCTAATGATAATGCTGACACTGCTAAATGGATCAGGCAAAGCCACCTGCTAGCGCATTATTTTGCAAACTAAAATCAGGATTTAGGAATTAAGCAATACAGACTGATTCAATCACAAATGACCAGAACATGATCCTTAAAATAGAGTATAGGGGGACTCCCGAGTGGCGCAACCGTCTAAGCGTTGGCCCTATCATCAGGAGATCACGAGTTCGATCCCTGGTGATGATACAGCCGTCCGTAGCCGGGAGTCCAAGAGAGCACAATTGGCCTAGCTCTCTCTGGGCGGGTAGGATGGCCCCTCCTTCTCCCCCCATCACCCAACGCGATGCTAGTCAGCGCAGGCGTCTGTTAGCTGACGTAACAGATCTGGCGGTTGGCGCTTTCCTCCGAGCGTGTTCAGCTGTCCAGTGATGTTGCGTGAGCTGCAGTTCGAAAAGATGCTCGGAGGAAGCCTGTGTTAGCCTTCACCCTCCTAGCGCTGATAGTATTGTGTGATTGGGGGAGTCCTAACTAGCGGATGGAATTGGAGACAACTAAATTGGGGAGATAATTGGGTATATATGAAGCTTGACCAGACAGAGAGGTCAAGCTTTGACCTCCTTAGGTGTTACACAAAGCTCCAGCATAATAAAGCAGTCACATAATTCTTCATCTGTGAAAATTAGCAAGTTGCTGTCAGTTTAAACCTAATGTGATCAAGTGCAATCTTTAAAAGCTAATGATATTTTATTAATTAACCTAGCTACAACGCTAATGCTAAAACTTTTTCATAAACGAATCCAGCTAC